ATACAAGGCACATTTGAGTCAAAAATAGCTAGGCGTTGGGATGAGACCCCACATTTCACTGCTGTTTGGGGAAGAATTAGAATTACTTCCAGTGAAGTAACGGCTTTAGCTTTTAACTTCAATGTAAAAAACAAACAAACCCCATGAAGGACACGAGAGTTGACCTTTATGTGGCGAAGCCCCACTGCGAGTGCCATGAGTGATGTTCGTTGTGACTGCCAGAGGATATTTCACTGCTGTAAATTAATTTTTCAGCTTTTCCCTTTTTTTTTCCCTTGCCACCTTGTCATGTTTCGAATATCAAAAAACGAGGGCATGGAGCGGCTTGGAAAGAGATTACGAATGTGAGGATGAGTTGTGTTGGTGGCAAACTCGGTGTTTTCTTGTCCAGGAGTTGTCTAACAACGGGAAGGAGCACCCCGACAGCAAACAGGAAGGGGATGCGGTACTGTTAGATCTGCACCTTTACATCAGCCTCCTTTAATATTCCTAGGGAGCTTCAAATTGCTGCTGCAGGCCTCCTAAACCCACGTTATCGATCCTTTAAAGGCAATTAAAGGATTCAAGGCAATGCAGACAAACAGTCCCGGCATATCTGTGCCCTTAGGAAGTACTAGGATGTGCTGTAGAAGTCCACGTGCTGCCCGTGTTGTGTTTTTTTCAACATTTATTCTCATTTTGATTTGCTCTGCAGCAGCTCTTCAGTCCTGGTCTCGTTGCCTGAGGTCCCCTCCTGCGTGGAAGCCCCGAACTGATTCCGTCCCAAACAGAGTTCGTTCTCATTAAATCATCGCAGGTTTTATTGACTCTAGCCCTAGTAAATAAAATGTCACTTCAAGCAGTTGCTGTGAACACGCAGCGTCTTATTTTGGGACTCGATATTGACACTGACTCATTCGCCTGCGCTGGGGAGCAGCACGCAGGCTGCGTGGCTCTGCCGTGTCCTCTCCCCCACGAGGGTTTGAGGAGATGGCAAACCCTACAAAATGTGTTTCACATTGCTCCTCAGGCTTGTGGAAAAACATCTAGACGATTGCTAAAGCTGCCTGAGGGTTGCTGTCGAGAAGCATCTTGCAGTTGCGGTGAGCCAGAATCACTGACTAGTGTGACTCGCTTGGAGTCTTACTAATTATTTTGGAGTCTTATTAATGGAGAAGAACCTGAAAGCATCAAGGGAGGTGCTGTAGGACATAGGGTTTTGAATTTTTCTAGTAGAAGTGTTCTTCAAGATTCAAAAATTTCATATGGCTTCCTTGTGTGGGGTTTTTCTTCTTTTTTTTTTTTGAGGATTCACCGTGTATGGCACTTTGTCCTCATTCTCAGCCATTCTTACTCTCATGCCATTTTAAAAATAATCTGATATTAGACAAACTGCAGGTTTTCTGATGTAAAAGAAAGTCTTAAAGCAACTCAATTTGACTTATGAAGAACCAGCAGTAATGAAATAAGACAATTTTCCATCCATATGCAACCACAATAGTGAATATTGTGAATATAGGGAATGGTGAATATTCAATAGTGAATAGTGAAAAATGCATAATGTATATGGATATATAAATATATAAATATAAAATATATATTGTATATATGTTATATATATGTATAAATATATAAAATAGATTGCTCCTGCTGTTGTAGAGCCTGACACTGCTGAATTGCGCCGGCATCTTTCAAACTTCTGTGGATTTGGTTGACTCCTCCTAGAGAAACAAGTCGAGCAAAGCGAGGTTATAAAGCTCTCCCTTGTGGAGTGTTTGCTTGCTGGAAGAGTGCATAGGACACAAAATAATGGTTCTTAGCAAACAAAATCATGCCGGGAAGGTGCTGCTGCACCTGATGCATAGGTTGGTTGATGGATGCCACTCTAATAAAGAGAAACGATCAAAATGAAGCAAGATACTGAAAACTCCTAATGCACGACTGCTGAAGAAGAGCACGAAATTTGTCCTAGTGATATTGTACCCAAACTGAGTTTAGCATCAGATGGTGTCTGCGATCCTTTCTGCAATCCATAATAGGTTTTAGGGGGGGCCTGGCTGTCAGCAGCAGCTCTCAGTTTTTGCTAATAAAGATCCTGAGACTTTGAAAATCGTCATTAGTGTGTCTTTTTAAAAGCCTCCTACATCTCTATCAATTACCTGTTAATTTGGGACATCTTTCACTTCCCTGTCACCAACTACTTACTTTCTATTATCTATCAGTATGATAGATATTGTTCCCAGAGTGTTCCTTTCTTTTTCTCTTTCTTTTCCTCCCCACTGATGCTCACAGCACAGTGCCTTGGGGGCGAGGAAGGAAAAACCGAGGCGCGGGAAGGGTGCGTGTCGTCTCGTGATGAGTTGAAATTGGCTTCGTGTGACAGCCTGTCTGTTTCCACTCTTTTACATTTGCTCTTCCTAAATCCTGCCTGGCGTGGGAGTAACGCACGAGGTAGGATTCACCAAGCACGGTTCTTCTGCCAGCACGAGCGGGGCTTGAACGGCGCTCGCAGGAGATTTCAGGCATTCACAGTCTTCGTGTTGATTAAAAATATTGAAAAAGAAATCAACGGATTGAAAATAAATCAACACGTTGAAAGAAATCAACACGTTGAAATAAGTCAACACGTTGAAATAAATCAATGTGTTGAAATAAATCAACGGATTGAAAGAAATCAACGGATTGAAAATAAATCAACATATTGAATTGCTCCTACCATTCAAAAATAATTAACTGAACGTTTATTCAATTTCAATGATACATTCCTTAGGACGAAAAGCAAAAATTAAAATGAAAAAACCTCCTTGTTTAGCAGCCAGTGAGCAGACTTTCTGCAGGCTTGGTGAGCTGTCACCTTCCATGCTTACAATAACCCTTTTTTTTGGTATTTCTCAAAATTGCTGTTCTTGAAGCCAACCCCGTGCCTTGCACGTCCACGCCGTGCAACATCAAGGATGCTGCTTGGCTCTCTGTAGCCTGCTGAAACGAGAAGGAGGAGAGGTTTGGAGGGTTTTGATGGAGATTCGTGTTGTAATTAATCTTTTATAACTGCAGCTCTAGGGTTACTTTGAAGGAAACGTGAAGTTTTGGGAAACGCAGTCCTCAAACAACATTGTGACCAGGCCAGCCTGCACGGACTCCTCTTGTTGCCTCTTCACATCTCTCCCATTTTGGGTGCACATTTTTATCCCGAGCCCTTCTAACGTGATCGACGGGCACCTTGGGGGCAGCAGTGACCCTCGGAGGCCGCGGGCCGAAGTCGGGCCAGGCCAGGGGCTAAGCAATCGTTTCGCGTCCCGGCTTGAGCCGAACAAGGCCGTGCTTTGTTTCGGTGGAGCACAACGAGGAGCCTCGCTGAGGAAGGAACAAGGAGGATCTTGTCCTGACAAAACGACGTTTGGAATTGATCTTAAGAAAGGGAATCTGCTGTTCTCAACTCATTCAAAGTCATGCACTCGCCTCCAGGAGTTTGCACGGAAGGCAAACATTTTGGTTTATCGGTTCTCGGGAAAGTTCAGGGGATGATCGGGCGTCTCAAAACGCAGCTGGAGCCCCGTGTTCGGGGTTTTGTTGACTTCTTTGGTGCTTTGTTCACTTTGGACACAAACGGTCGAGCCCGTATAATCACGCTGGTTTTGTGCCTGATTTGCTGGCATCGCGAAGTAACGAGGTTTCGGTGGGCAGAAATGGCTTTAAATACCCCTACCGCGACTTTTTACACCTTTCCCTATGGCAGAGCTTATCCTCAGCCACCAGCAAACACGTTTCTTGGTTCATTTTCTGGTTTTGAGCGTTGGTTCAGCACCTCGGGGCGCATCTCACGGAAGGATCTGGTGCACAAGGGGCAGAAATATGTAAGCAGCTACAGGTAGAGGCCCCTCATAGAGCCCCAAATCTCATCGCAAACTGCCTTAAATTAAATCTCCCTTTTCTTTTTCCTTTTAACAGCTACCTAATGCGATCCACTACTCTTAAAATGAGAAGAAATTGCAACGGGAATGCAAAAAATAATAGTTACAGGCATAACTTTGCTCGTGAAAAGTATTGAGGACTGTGTTGTTTGAGGGATTGATTATTTTTCTCTGCCAAAAATTTATGGGTTGTGCTAGTGGATGGTTTGGGGTATGGAAGGAACCGACAATGTTTGCAAACCCGTGGAAACTGGATCAGGGAAGTGTGGAACCAGTGGGCACGAAATCACTGCTAGCAGTGGTGATGGACCTAATTAAAAAATCGAGGATTTTGCTGCAGTGTCTTCATTTAATTGTTGCTGGGGGTGCATCTGGCCCCTGTCCTGTTTCTCATGTGTGGGTTTTGGTGCTGGCTCGTGCTTTGTTTCCCCCCATCCCCACCACGCCGATGCTGCTGCACCAGCCCCCCTGGCACCGTTACAGCTCCATTTTGCTGCTGTCTTGACGTTGCTGGTTTTATGAGACTGTGCTAAGTGAAATGCGGAGACTAAACAGTGTAATTAACATTAATAATTAAAAACAAAATGCTTTTCCTAATCTGTAGTCTGCTGTCACCCTCGGAGCTTGATCCTGAGAGCACCAAATGTCCGTCGGTTCCCCAAGGATGGAGCCGTGTCAGCCTGGGGCACAAATGACCTGACATTTTCTTGCTCCCGAGAACCCTTTTTCCTTTGCGGTTCAATAAGGGTTTTGTTTGTGCTGTCTGTGACACATCAAGACGTTTTGCTGTCAATATTCCTGGCTCTGATTTGGCCACACTCTGGTTTTGCTGGGGTCGTTCACATGCAGGAATATTTTCAGAGCTGAGGTGTGCATTTAGATCTTGGGGTCCCTATGAATTAAGACATCAACATGAAATTCATCAATACATCTCACCAGAAACTTAAAAAATATAAAAAGGGGTAGAAATATAAGTCATGTATTATCGTAGTTTGCTAAGACTAAAAATGAATTGTTTCCTTATATATCAGATTATCATTTGTCGGATATAAGAGCGAAAATGTTTTTCTAGGTACCTCGTTTTAACTTTTTTTTCTCCTTCTTCAACAGAGCATTCAGAAGCTGGCTAGCCAATACTTAAAGAAGGACTGGCTGGGAATAAAAGCTGATGAGCGAGCTGATTATAGGTAATTTAACAGTTGGATATCTTGAAATAGCCGTCTTTATATTTTCAATTTGGGTAATTATTTTTCCCAACAATGAAACGCTGCTCTTCTGTATTTTAAATGATTTATATTCATTGTCGTAGAGGATTGACAGTTAAAAAGGAAGCTTTTCATTGTTGTAGGGGATTGTCAGTTAAAAAGGAAGCTTTGTTTTCCTCTAAAATTTTGAAATAGGCTTAAATAGCTGTTTATAACTTGGATAGTTTAGGAGGATTGGGAAAACAAATGGCACAACAGGATAAAAAACATAATCGTGTGCCTCCTTTGGGTATTACCAGTTGGGAAGTTGGTATATAAATATATATCTTTTATTAAATAGCTTTAAGGTTAGAGTAATAAGCATGCAGATTACTCCACAGGATGAGACAAAGCAACAAATTTCTTTTTCGGGGGCTATTTGTAATGAAGATCCCGTCTGACAGCGAGGAGGCACGAAACTGGTGTTTACAAAACTCGGTTTCATTAAGAAGCAAAGTGCATCTTAACACGAAAGCAGACCTGACTCAGTTGCTAAATGCCTCCCACCTTTGGATAAATACCTCCTAAGTATTTTGAAGAGGTTTTAAAATACCTCATTTTCCTATTCTGACACATTTTGGTTCAGAAGGAATAATCCGTTAATAGATTTAAGGTTTGGATTATTAGCATCTTCAGATTAGTTGTGGCAGGGTTTTGGACGAAGAAACTACAGTAGCTGAAGCAAAATGGATGAGCTGTAGCTACTAGCCCTATTGCAAAATGCCTAAAATTGCATAATCTTATCAGAAGTTACCATCTGATCTGGTGAATTTTAGCTGCTGCTTCCAGTAGGGTGTGTTCCCTGGTAGCAATGGGTTCAACCAAGAGTAATTGCCACCAAAATTAAACCACAAAACAGGGAAAGAAGGAGAAAAGTCCTAGTTTTTGTGAAACTTTGATTAAGCTTTTATGTAAAACTGCAGATATTTGCTAGATCAGCATAAAGAATTGTGCTGTAGCTTAGTTTTAAAAGCCATCCTTTGAAGAAATGTATCATTTCTATTTACACAAATCAACACATTTTCAGCAGTGCCTGACCTCCCTTTCTTCCTTCTGTGTTTCGGTACTCTAGGAGCATGTACTCAGTTTGGAAATCGCTTTTAGAAGGCACAATGCAAGTGGCCCAATCCCGCCTCAATATCTGCGAGAACTATAAAAACTTGATTTCCGAACCAGCCAGGACTGTAAGGTGCTTTAAGGAACAGCAGCTGAAAAAGGTAATTTTCCTTTCTTTGGTTATTAGAGGTGTTTTAGTAAAGCACCTGTGTACTTCGTAGTCTCTTTATGTGCACGTTACAGAAGTAAGTGGCCAGCTTGTTGGAGAGGGAACAGAGTTCGGTGCCTGACATTTAAATTGCTTTGAAATGAATGCAGTACAAAGTTGATCAAAACTACCACTGCAAGTCTAACATCACGCTGTGGCAATTAGATGGAATTGGCTGGGTAGTGCCAATTGCAATTGTTAGAATAGGTTCTGATTTTAAGAAAAAGCCTGTCTTTAACCTGAAGGAATGATTTGTGCAGTCTTTGAGATGTCGAGTGCAGGTTGTTCAGCCACATGCTGTAAAAGCATCTCAAGTCACTATTCCAAAAGCTGCTATAACAGATCTATTAATTCATGCAAAGAAAATGCTGTAGTTCAAGGAAAAAAGTAAGCATGACTTTCATTAAAAAATGTAATTGGCTGTTGCATTTTAAAGTAATTTACGCCTTAAAAGGTCTCTATCATACTGCTTAACACAGAATATGTTTGAAGTAAGATGCAATATTCCATCTGTTTCCATAAGGCAGGAAGACACTTTTTAAAAATAATCATGTATTTATGTGAAGGCTAAGCACTCTTCATATTTTAATTATTTTGTGTTTGTGTTCTGTGGATTTTGCTGGAGCAAGGAGAAAACCCGCTGTTTTAAGGAATAAGCATAGTTTACAAAAATTCATTACTGCACCAACCATACATTTTTGGAGGTTTTCAGAAATGATCTTTTGAAATGCTCACTCTGTGGCTTCCATGAAGCATAAAATAAGGAGGGAAATAAAGATGCTGGTGGAACACACACTGCAAACATCTCAAATATTACTAATAGTTGTAAATATTCCTTCTGTGCATATTACTGAGCTTTGCCTCTAGGTTTAATCTCGGGTAGGCTGAACCATGTATTCATGGTAAAAGACAAAAAAAAAACAATTTATTTTTTTTCCAGTTTTTTGACCACATCTCATTGCAACTTACCCCCTTCAGAGCAGTATACTGTAAAATATTTGGCTACAGACTTTTAAATAGATGTTACTGTAACATGAGCTCTCAGTTTCTCAATGAATTTTTGCATAACTCCTAGAAGCATGTGCAATATTTGTTTTTTTCTAGGGGAAAAATAACTTTATTGATGTTGTTTGTTTATTGTCCTGGGGATTTTTTTTTCTGTGAAGCTTTCCAAAAAAATACTGTAGCAATGTATAGCATCTTTATTTAGTAAATAATTACCAGTTATTTTTCCTCTGCTAGTTCAGAAAGCTGATGGGTTGGCAGAAGTGGGGACCACTGATTTAAATTTGTAGAAATTATACAGAAATAAAACAATTTTCCTTCACTTTGAAATTACCAGAACATGTTGTTACTATTATCAGGGCAGTACTTCTGGTTCATAATATTCTAACAGCCATACACTTTTCCTACAAGATGGAACAATCCTCCACCTGGTAGTAGTAATTTTCCTCCACGACAAATTAATTGTTTTATACAGTGCAATCTGTCACCCGTTCCTTTGGCTTTCCACAACGGTAAATAATGTATCATGCTGATCTCCATCCAGCTGAAACCTTACTAAACTTAAATTTTGGAGTCAGTGAAATACTCGTAATGTGGAGTGCCCAAACAAAGTCAAATTTCTGCTAGGAGCAGGGTCTCCATCCACGATTGCAGTAGGTGTTGAGTGGCTATCGATGACCTGTTCTGTTTATTTTCCAGATGTTTCTGTTAGCCTTTATTTCCGTGACATGGTAGCATGTAGAAGCTTCACATCAAATTCATTTTTATGACCCTTTTTAGTACTAACTGAAACATTCAGACACTCTCATCGTGATTTGCTGAAGAACATTGCTAGATAGTTGGTGTCCTGGTGCAGAAGCAATAAATGTCTTCTGTAGGCCATGTCTCACCTCTTGAGAAAACTGATCCCCTGCCCTCACTTGGAGGCTCTTTGATGTGATGAGGAGGCTCTTCTGTGGACAGCAGCCCACCCTCAGCCATCGTCTTTCCCCTGAGGCCTTGTAAACTCATCCCGTAAGTGATGGGTGGCTTCATAGCTGGCTTTGGGAGAGAAGGCCCTGTGGTGTTCTTTCATCACGTATCTTCAGAAAAGAGAGAATCCCAGAATCATTAGGGTTGGAAAAGCCCTCCAAGATCATCTGGTCCAAACACTCCCCTACCACCAATGTCCCCACCAAGCCCTGTCCCCAAGCACCACGTCCAACCTCTCCTTGAACACCCCCAGGGACGGGGACTCCCCCACCTCCCTGGGCAACCCGTCCCAAGGCCTGACCGCTCTTGCTGAGCAGAAATGTCTCCTCATTTCCCACCTGAGACAGCGTGGCCACCACCACACAAATCTTCACGGATCTGTGTTAGAGGGCTGAAAGGCAAATAGAGCAGAATTGCTCTACATGGAGGCAGGGCAACAAGAAATTATCTCTGTGAGCTCCCTGAGACAGCTTTCAGCATGTAACCAGCGTCTGCCCGAACCAAAACCCCTGAGGGGCATCCAGCCTCCTGACTATATTATTTTATTCTTCAGAGATGTAAAAGCAAACTGATCTGATGTTTCCAAAATGATCGTGTTAACAACTGGGGCTATTTGATATTTTAATTTTTTGATGCCAGCAGGAGGCTTCAGGGATCAAAACGCTGATTGATGTCGCAAAAACCCAGTCCTATTAAAATGATTTTAGGTCTCTGTCAGCTGTCCAATATATACAGGTTTTTCTACCTTTCATTTTCCTATCATACACTCAGAGATCTCCAAAAAAGCACAGTCTTGTCCTCCACCATGAAGCTTCCCTTACGAAGCCCTATACTTAATTAATCTGCACACACGAAATAATGGTTTTAATGGGAACTCATATGAGTTTTTATCTGAGAGAGCTGGGGGTGGTGGGCCTGGGGAAGAGAAGGCCAAAAATTTGAGGATCTGTCTCTAAATATTGCCCGCAGCTTTCACCAACCACCCCTAGTCTGTATTCAAAAGTCACAAAATAGTTTAGAAAAAAAGAGGCCTTAAAATAATGTTATCAAATTGTTCTTGGTGCTATTATACCGTTGGGTTTTCCACGGTAAATTTTGTCTCGTGTTTGAAATTTTAGAGAAGGAGAGACAAATCATTTCTGGTATCACCTCTGATAGATTGCCTTTGGATTTTTCCCCATTGTATTCCAATTATTTCTGCTAATTACCTCATTAAAATCTTTCAGGACTTTTATGTTTAATTTGCGAGTTATCATTGAATTCGAGCAGTTAATACAGCACTTGAAACAAAGAAATATGGTTTTATGTTCTGATCGGCTTTAAAAGGAAGGCATGAATAATTGACCAGGAGTGACTCGGAGACCATGTAGCTCCATATAAAATTGAGTGAAAAGAAGTCAAATGATGATAATAGAATTATTTACATGCAAAAGATGTTAATGCTTTGTTTCCTGCATTTTTTTTTTGTTGTTTCAGTATGTGGACCAGCTGACAAGGATCCAAGCTGAATTACAAGAGACAGTAAAAGATTTAGCTAAAGGCAAAAAGAAATATTTTGAGACTGAACAGATGGCTCAAGCAGTGCGGGAGAAAGCTGATATTGAGGCCAAGTATGTTTTTATAATAGCGTATGTATAAATAATCGCATGTGTATAAACCAGATTTTTATTTGTATTAGTTTTTACACTTGATATTAGTTTAGAAGAAAGATAATTGTTTTCAATAAGCTTGTGCCATTTTTTTTAAATATGCGTTTTTGTAACCATTTCAAACATGCTTTTACCCTGATAGTTTAGTACAACTTATTTAGGATAACTTCTTTAGGACAGGAGTTAAACTAGCTGCTTTAATTTAATCTTTTTGAAGGATACTGTGTGACCTAGCACTCTTTTTGCTATTAAAGGCTATTTGCTTCTCTCTCTCTTTCCAGATCTCAGATTTGGTATCATGTCCATGTGAGGGGGCGGGGGGACGGGGACACTATTTTTTATGCTCCTTGACATCTTGAAGAGGTTGATTCCCGTTGTTTCAGGAAAGCAAGCAACTCCCATGCTTTCAGTTTGGAGTTTTGCCTGTATCATGGGAGTTTGCTTCACTATTTCTTGCAAGTTTGTTCATTTTTTTATTTAAAAAAAAGAAATCCTCAGTAGTGTCCTCAGATTAAGCTTAAAACTATACAAATAGAAATTTAGGCATGAAAAATGGAAAGTTTTACAGAAGTGCAGTAGCCTGTTTATCCTGTATTTTTGTAGAAAAGGTACAAGGCAGTAATCTCTTCTGTTTTTTTTTTTTTTTTTTCAGGTCTAAACTTAGTCTTTTTCAGTCAAGAATAAGCTTGCAAAAGGCAAGTGTAAAGGTGAGTATAAGGAAAGTTTGCATGTATGATATAAGTGCTTTGAAGCTATTTTCTTGTGGTGTATGACCCAAGTTGTCTGGAATCTACAGACGACTGACATTTGATAAGGTACCTTGTTAGAATGAGTTATCAGATAAGAACAGACTCCCAGCAGTCAGAGTGCAGAATTACATGAGACCAAATTTACAAGGAAGTTTTTTCTAGTCATAATTACAGCTGTTCTATAAAAATTGCATGTAAAATTACAAACTGCATGAGAGAAAAAATAATTTTAAAATCCCCTTACCATTAAGAAAAATCTTAATCTGTTAATCCTTTAAAGTTTTGACTGTATTAATATATGCATGCATGCGTATTAATCTGCTATTAATCCTTTTTTAGTCATTTAACTTCTCATTAGTACCTACCTTTTAACTTCTGTTTCTTCTCGTAGTTAAAAGCACGACGATCGGAGTGTAATTCAAAGGCTATCCATGCAAGGAATGATTATCTTCTCACTTTAGCAGCTGCTAATGCACACCAAGATCGCTATTATCAAACAGACTTAGTAAACATTATGAAGGTAAGGAAGCTAATTTATGTTTTGGAGTTGAGAAGTGTGAAAATCTGGAAAGCAAAATTAATAATATGCAAAATCTTGGGGCAAGCACTGTTGACTTTGTTGACTTTTCCAGTGTATTGCAATAGATGAGGGCACTGGAATGGATCCTGTGATAACATACAGATACTTGGTAACAATTGTCCAGTCCCAAAGCTAAGCAGTTGCCTTTTTTTTTACTTAATTTTTAAAATTATTTTTTATTTTATTTATTTATTTTTTAAAGCATACTTAAATAAAGGAGTCACGGTGGACCTTAAGTTAGAGATCTTTTTAGTTCTTCAGTGCCTATTCCAAAATATTTTTTTTGTGTCTGATCAGAACATTTCTTTATGGTATAGCTAACGAAAATGTAACTATTAAAGATGTCAGGTTTCAAGCCATGAATTTTAGAGAATAGCAAATCAGCATTGCTGTTCTTACACATGGCAGCTTGCCACGTCAAGCTGAGTAGATGCTTGAACTCATAGGAAATGACATACTTAAAAAGTTCAAATATAATTGCTGACAGGTTTTCCACAGCATTCTAGAATTATTAAATGTACTCAATTCTTGCAACTTAGAACTAAATAGTTACGAATAAAGTGTAAAATCTGCAATTTCATCTATTTAAATCTAATGCAGGCTTTATGTGGTTGCGTTCCATATTTTGACATTTTCGAGGTGTATTTAAGTTTGCTGTGTACAAACTATTTCCAGGTGATGTGATCGTGGCAACTCATTAGCCTGTAATTTGCATTTAAAATTGCTTTATTGGATAACATATCACTTCTGTGAACTTAAACTTCTGAGTAGACTTCCTCACCTGGAACAAGGGTGGCAGGTTGTAACAAGTCAGTGTTACCAGCATGTTTCTGCGTACTCGAAGAAATCTGTTTGAAAACTATCTGTAAGAACTCTATCTATAAATCACGTTGATCTGAAATGCAGGCAACCAAATTAGAAATTTAGGGAGCAAAACACTGACCTCTGAGGGATTCTTGCGTGAAATTCCATCAGGTCTTGACTAGGTTAACTGCTCCTATGGCGGTGTGTGCATGCCTCTTCAAGAAAATCACAGTTTGTGTTGGATCTTCATTGCTCTGCCTCGTATATAAGTGCTTGGATGGCCAAAACAGATCTGGGCATCTCAAAGGCAATGCAGAGCTGATGGTCCTGTTGTAGAGGAAATATTCCTTATAATGTTCAAGATAAAATTATGAGTAGATTCTTAGTAATGTAATTCTGTACTACCTGCATGGCTGGCTGTCAGCAGTTACTGCTTTTACGTGTAGGTAATGCCAGAAGTGAAATTAATATGTTCAGAACCTAAGAAATAATATGGACATTTGATTTTTTTTATTTTAAAAAAAAAAAAGGTGAAATGATGGCTGGCTCTGGTAGGTGATGGCTGCTCAAGTCTCGGGCATTGGAACATAATGCCTGCAAAATGCTGCAGAGCACACCGAGTGCCTCGTTTTCTCTGTATGTCCAGCTGTATTTTGTGTGTTATGAACTAGGCACAACGGGTGTCTGCATAGTGAGCCATGCAGGACTGTGATCTCTCTGAATTTCCCTAAGTGTTTGTCTTCTGGATGGTACAAGTTCTCTGTGCTGTGATGTTAGAAAGCCACGGATACCCCAGGCGTGCTTATTTTTAGCCTGCAATAAGAAATCAGACAACAAACTGTTGAATCATTCTTGGAAGGCTGAAAAATACAATAAGGGATAACAAAGTCATGCCCGTGCCATTCCTCTGCGTGTGTGCTGTTGTCCATAGATGTTCTGCTTACCCAGGGTCCTGTCCTAAAGCTGCTGCTGATCCGTCTTAGCTCGTGGTAGTTCCTTTACCAGGCTCCCTCTTGCCCAGTCCTTTCTTTTGTAGAACTTGTTTTGAAGTCGTTTTCAGTGTGAACGGTTTTTGATATGGAAATCTCTCTGTGCAACCTATTCTCCCGTATCAATAATTGTGGTTTGCTGCAAACCTAAATTGCGAGTACTTCCATTGAGCCCAATTACTTTGGAAGGGAAGGACAACACGCAGGGTTCTTTTTCTGCGTCTCTTTCAGATATTTGTGGTAGTTAAACCTCCTGGTCTGGTAAAGAGCTGTGTTAATAATGAAGATCTGTCAATTTGGTTTTGGCACTTTGGTGTATGAGTAAAAATCAGTGGGCGCACACACATCCTTGCAACAAGGTCTAATGGGGCAAGGGAGAGAGTAAGTTGAAGGCAAGGCTTCAAATTGAATGTCTGCTGAATGCATTTAGAAGAGGAGAGAAAAAAAAATCAGGAAAATCAAGGGTAGTGTCATTAGGATCCAACTGGGCTTATCCAGTAAGTTCGGATGTGAAACTGCTGAAATACGAACAACTGGGTGTAATCTGGGGCTAAAACCAGTCTCAGCATCAACAGAAGTGTGCCCCAACCTCTAAAAAGGGCTTCAGGGGTGAATCATTTATCAAGAAGTCTGACCTGTGAATGGGATCAGTACACACGTAAGTACATGCGATATAGTGGGGCGATGAGCATGATTTCGGAAGAGGGACGGCGACTCCAAAAGCCGTGTTTAAGACTCAGTAAGCCCGGGGATAAGGTGATTCATCTGGTTCAGTGTCTAGAGCTTGCCAAGGGCTCTCAGCAGGCTTCCCACTCAGCCTCTGCTTACGTAGAAGAGGTGCATCCTTGCAGGTAGGGCGGGGGTTTTCTCACACATCAGGACCCGATGAAGAGATACACGAGATGTGGGATTAAAGCAAATGCCTGGGCTCTGTAATGGGAGGAGATTTGCTGGCAGGGCCCTGTTTTTCCTTTAATCCCTCCCTCTTCCAACTGAAATCTGGGGGATCCATGCTTTCTAATGCTGAGAAAATGACTATTTTATCTAGCATAAGGATTTAACAGAAATGATATGGAAAATGAACTGAAGAGCAGCGGTGGTCTGCAGGTACAGAATCGTTCTGTATAAGCAAATGTGAAGGTTACGACCAAGAAGCATCATAAGATCTTGATGGTTTGGGATTACCAGGCAAGAAAATAGCACCTGAAATTCGCCTTAAAAAGTGAAAAGCGGTATTTAGAGATAAAATCACTGCCTACGGGATGAAGAACTCAGAGTTGCTGTTACCATTTGTGATGGAGAAGCTGGAATGAAGGATAAAGAAATAGGGACTTGACTCTTATGTGATCCTAATCCCATCTCTACATAGCATCACTAGGAAAGGCAGCCTACTGAAAGGTGATTAAAACTCTTTCTATACAGCCCAGTTCTTGTTTTAGCAGTGTGACCCCAGCAGACATTACATACAGTTGTAGTGTCTAAGCCAAACGTGGCCATTTATATCTTAAGGTTGACATTTTTAAGATGTCAACCTTCTTTTTTTCACCTTCTTAATGAGTCTTTCGGCATTCGTGCCGTGGTGACCACCTTGGTACCTGGTGAGCACCTTGCTACCCTAATTTCTCCATATTTCTGTGACTGAGCCCATATGCCTTCTGCAGGGCTGCCCGTGTGCCAGGTCACATCCATTTTCTCCATAAAATCCCCATCCCAAAGTCCAAAATCTCCGTCCATTTCCAGCATTCCTGAAAAATTCGGCTCTCGCCACCCGCCCCGTTTGAAAGCAAACTGGAAGACAGCAGCCAGACTTCTGTAAGGTGGGAACGTTGCGTGCAATCAGCGGCACCCTGAACACCACAGGGCTTAACGGGGTTATTTAGGGTCTGCTCTTTGAGGGGCTGTGCGGATCGGCTGATTTTATCCACGCTCTGCACCAGGTGAGCCTGAGATTCCCGGAGCACACAGCATCTACCCTGTGAGATCTGGAGGTGTGATTGCAGGACCAGTTTCATTGCTTTATTTGGAATCGGGTTCATTGCCTCGCCTTTTCTTCAGGGCAAATGTTTTTGTATGTGGCAGAGAGATAAACTTTAAATTATTTTCAGGCTGGCTTTCAGAGTTACTCAGTAACCCGTAGGTAAATCCTTTATCTAAATAATATTCAGCATCTAAGTTGTTTAATATAACATTCAAGCTTGAAAAACAAACTGCCCCACCTCCCCTGCCCTCAAAATCTCCCTAATCCTCACCTGAAGCATCGGTTTTACAATACAGATGTTACAAATCACATGGAAAGATGAAAAAAAAAACAAAGTAATTTTGGTTCAAAGACTGATCTTACCTACCTGTTGTCTAAAAAAGTTGTTCGAAATTGAATTTAGGTATAAAATGAGAGCTGCTTGGTGTGCTGTTTGGAGTGCATCAGTGTGGATTTGAGCAGAGTCAAAGCTTTCCATAGTTCTTTAGATGATAAAAACTTTAGGAGTGGAAAAAGCCCTGCAGAGATGTCAGCTGCTCCTTGGCTGTGTTGCTGTGTGAGAAGGTAAAACCTGAGCTTCTTTATAAATGCCTGAAAGACTGTTTCTGTTTGTGCCCATCCTAAACAATTTCCTTGCAGGTTTTGGTCTTAATCAGGTTATTGTTTGCAATGAGAGTTGTTCTGCGTGGCTTTTGGGGACCCTCGTTGCATCCCGTGCAAGATGAACTGAATGCAGACGGGGAACGACGAGGCACACCTTGGCTTCCAGCTGCTGGCGGTGGTGGCTTTTAAGCAGTGAAATCCAGTGAAAGTTCAAGCGCTGCCAACAGGTGACAGCTCTTTAAGCAGCAAAATCAACACCTGAAGGAGAGAGGAGGGGCGGTGACGTATTTCAGCACCCGTGTCGGTTTGTGTTGGCACAAGGGATTTGGGAAGCCACTGCTGGGAAAAGATAATTCGTGCTGGGCTTGAGGGTTACTCGGTGTTTGCTACAAGCCAGCACGGGTTTTGTTCGTCCTAGCTGACTCCGAAATGCTGCTGTGGTGCTGTCCTGTGACAAATGAATCACAAATTACTCCTCTGGAACAGGCAACAAAACAGCCAACGTTTCGCTTGGCAGAGCTCCTGGTGACATACAGCTCCTGATCATTCGCGGTATTTCGAGTATG